AAAAGTAAAGAAAACAAAGTCAGTATTTACTGTTGTCTTGCCAAAGATACTGGTTTCACCTGGAAGCATTTATAGTAAGGCTAGTTCAGGGCTTAAACGCCCTAAAGCAGTGGTTCTCAACCTGTAGGTCCCCAAGTTCTTTGGCCTACAACTCCCAGAAATCCCAACCAGTTTAGCAGCTGTTAGGATTTCTGAGAATTGAAGGCCAAAACATTTGCTAACCCACAGGTTGAAAACCACTGCCCTAAAGGTACCATATTCTGCCTCATCTTGAAAGACAAGCACGAGCAGTCCTAGATAGTATACAGTAGTAGATGGGAGTCGTAGACCTTATTTCAGAAGGAGGACTTGGCAAAATCACCTCCGAGTATTTCTTTCCTAAGAAAACCCTATAAAAATCATGGGGCCACCATAAGCCAATAGGTGACTTGAAAGAACATGCACATTGCTCTCCTCCCAAGAAGTAAGCGTCATCTGATTTCCTGGCTGCAGTCTGCATCTGCAGTAATCTTTGCACCTAGAAATATAAGTCTGTCATGGCTTCCACGTTTTCGCCCTTTATTTGCCAGTTATCAATCAGTCTGGTTGCCATAATCTTGGTTTTTTTTAATGTTTAAAAGATGGCCAAAATGGTACTGGGGAGGAGCAGAGGATAAGTTCAACTAGCCCCAGATGTGATGACGCAGCTAGCTCAAAGCCGAAAGGAAGGCTAGCGGCCGACGGTACTGGAGGTGAACGACGAATCCGATGCTCTAAAGATCAACACACCATAGGAACCTGGAATGTAAGATCTATGAGCCAGGGCAAATTGGATGTTGTTATTGGCGAGATGTCAAGACTAAAGATAGACATTCTGGGGGTCAGCGAACTGAAGTGGACTGGAATGGGCCACTTCACATCAGATGACCACCAGATCTACTACTGCGGACAAGAGGAACATCGAAGAAATGGAGTAGCCTTCATAATTAATAAGAAATTCGCTAAAGCGGTGCTTGGATACAACCCAAAAAATGACAGAGTGCAAGGAAATGAAATTCGAGTGCAAGGAAAGCCTTTCAACATTACAGTGATCCAAATATACGCCCCAACCACAGCTGCTGAAG